CCCCAAAACCCCAAAACCCCAAAACCCCAGAATTTCACTTGCCTATCTTTTAAATTTGAATAAAATCAAATAGAAATAATTTTGATTATGCCTAGAAGTGAGTAATTGTTAATTTAAAGTTAAAATTAATGTTTAATGAGATTTCAAGCACTCTTGGTTCATTACATCTCGGTGAGATTTGCGTATGATCTAACTCTTGCTTGTGGGTTTGTGGTTGGCTTTGGAATAGAAACAGCTGAAACCTTCCAGATGTCCATGCAGTACTCCTAGATTGTTCTGTCTGAAGAAAACTTGCCTGACTTAGCAATACCCTCAATGGACATTTTGCACCATTTAGGGTAGTCTCTATAAGTTTCGTCAACCTTCTCTTGAGCTGTAAGATATGGGTAGTAATCAAGGCAAACACAATAGTAGTCACCGCCGTTTTCAATACTGTATAGCATGCCATGAATAGTGCTTACATCACCAAAAGTGCCACTTCTGATTGCATCGAAAACTTTTCTTAGTCTTGATCCAATGTAATCTCTTCTTCCATCATGAAGTTGTTTTCTGAAGGTGTCTACCTCTGGTACGAGTGCTCCAAAAATGAACATATTCTCTGCTCCGATTTCTTCAGCAATTTCAACATTTGCTCCGTCCATTGTACCAATAATGATTGATCCGTTCATAATGAATTTCATGTTAGATGTGCCTGAGGCTTCAGTACCTGCAGTTGAGATGTGTTGAGATAGCTCAGCAGCTGGAATAATGATTTAAGCAGCACTAACGCAATAGTTTGGCAAAAACACAACCTTAAGGAGTTCACCGACATCTCTATCGTTATTAATCTTTTAAGCTACGCTGTTGATAAGCTTAATAATTGCTTTAGCGTTTGCATATCCTGGTGCTGCTTTACCTCCAATCATTACAACTCTTGGCACAAATTTGCTAGCTCTCTCATGCTAAGGTGTCTCCTTTATTTATAAATATCTGTGGATGACATAAAGGATATTCATAAATTGACGCTTATACTCGTGAATACGTTTAACCATAACATCATATAGAGCATTGGTAGGAATGTCAATACCAGTATGCTCCTTAACCCATTTTTGTAGTCTAAGTTTATTGTCTGATTTAACTTAGACAAATCTCTTGATGAAATCTTCGTCCTGAGAATAAGCAGAAAGCTCTCTTAAACTAGTCAAGTTGGTGAGCCATGTAGTATGCTCTTCCATGATTGTATCACTGATGAGTTTTGATAGACCTGGGTTGCAGCAGTGAATCCATCTTCTGGGAGTGACACCATTTGTTTTGTTTTGTAGTTTGCCTGGGAACATTTCATCGAAGTCCTTGAAAATTGTCTTTTTTAGGAGTTCGGAGTGAAGAGCAGCCACACCGTTGACAGTGTGAGAGCAAACAATTGACAAGAAAGCCATTCTTACTTTCTTATCATCACCCTCTTCGATAAGACTCATTCTTGAGACTCTGCTGTTATCTCCTGGGTACCTTTGCTTAACTTTCTCAAGGAAGAAGAAGTTAATCAGATAGATTAAGTCAAGGTGACGAGGAAGAAGATTTCCAATCAATTTGGTTGACCATTTCTCAAGAGCTTCTGGAAGCACTGTATGGTTGGTGTAAGCGAAGGTTTTGTACATGATACCCCATGCTTGATCCCAAGGGAGTTTCTCCTCATCAATCAGAATTCTGAGAAGTTCAATAGAAGCGATTGCTGGATGAGTATCATTCAGTTATATTTGATTCTTCTCATGGAAAAAGTTCCAAGTAGAGTGAGTCTTCTTATATCTTCTAATGATGTCTCTAATAGTAGCTGAGCAGAAGAAATATTGCTGCTTAAGTCTAAGCTCTTTACCTCCCTCTGATGAATCGTTTGGATAGAGTACACTGGTGATATATTCAGCCTTTTGTCTTTCACCGATAGCTCCATGATAATCTCCAGCATTAAATTGCTTGAAGTCGAATTCGTTACATGGCCTAGACCTCCAAAGTCTTAAGTTATTGCAGTTAAAGGTGTTAAATCCTGGAATTGGAGTATCATAAGCTTAGGCAACTACGACATCTCCGCCTTCCCAAACTCCTCTTTCAACTCCACCATCATTATACTTTTTAACATGTCCATAAAATCTAACGTGATATGTCACATCTTGTCTCTCAATTTCCCAAGGGTTTCCGTGACTTAACCAATAGTCTGGTGATTCAACTTAATATCCATCGACAATGCCTTGCTTGAATATACCATAATCGTATCTAATACCATATCCCCAGTTTGGAATCTCAAGAGTGGCCATAGAGTCTAAGAAACAAGCGGCAAGTCTTCCGAGACCTCCATTACCTAGAGCTGGATCCACTTCCTCTTCATAAAGATTCTCGAGTTTGTAACCAATATCCATCAGTGCATCTTTGTATGGCTCTTCCACATCTATGTTGACTAGAGCGTTTTGCATGAGTCTGCCGAGCAAGAATTCGAGTGACAGATAATAGACTCTCTTTGAATCATTAGTCTATAATAATCGATATTTATTATTAATGATGCCATTTTAAATTTCAATGAATGCATTCATTGATTTGGATTGCTGATTTGCTAAAGATTTCAAATATCTTTCCTTCTCAACAACCAAAAGACAAAATACTTACTGTAAAATACTCATTTGTATCGTTCCATGATTCAATGAGTCTGTCTCTGATAGAGAAAGCTGAGGCTTAGTAAGCACCAAAATCGTCAAAGCTGAATCTGCTTCTAGCAAGTGTATATTCAACGTGATTAACAATTGATCTTTGGATTGATCTCTTATCTGATCCGATATATGAATTCATCAATTCCCAAAGCTTTTCTGTACCAACCTTGGCTTCATCATACTTGAACTCAGGCTATTAGGTTAAGGTTAAGCATCAATTGATGATAAGAAATATTCATTAAAGGTTGAGAATTTAAATATGGGAAATGGGAGGTATTAATAGTATTTATATCTTACTCTGTATAATTATTTATCTTGACCTTCCCTTTGCAGGTCGAACTTTGAATCCTTTCTCTTAATTTTCGACTTGTCTACAGTTGAGTGCGAGAACTATATTAAAGTAAGATTTCTGGTTTAGATTCTATTAATGAGAGAGTTTTTGTTTTCGACAATGAATCATTACCTATTTAGATTCTTCTTATTCAGGAGCTTTTTGAGATTGGGTGTGAATTTGAGTAGTGGCTTGGTGGTTTTGATTTGATTAAGAACCTGGGTGGTTTTGAACGTTGTTTAATTGTGCACTTTGGTCTGCTTGGACTTTAGTAGTGGTAGTTTCTTCTTGTTGTTGTTTCTTTTCCTCCTCGCTACCAACTATATTATAGGTGAGGATCAATCGTCATTATTTGCGAATAAGGGGTAAGATATTTAAGGATATTCAAATTACGTTGGTTTGAGTCCTGAGTCTGCTCAGTTGACTGTGAGTCGTTTGAAGGGATGCTTTGTGAGGCATCTGGTTCATTCTTTGCTTGGTTTTTCTTTTTTCCTCCCATTGTGTTTTATGCGAATACTCAGATATGCTTGAACGAGTAGATGTGTATCTTTAAATTATAAATTTGATAAATTTACTAAGAATCACTCGAATGCTGAAATAAGCAATGAACAACTTAAATTAAATTCACTCAAGAGACCCAAAAAATTGACTTTAATATATAATTTTAAACAACACAAATTTAAATGGCAAATTATCTTGGAGTTAGAGAATCAATGACTTTGTTACTTCCTAAAGAATTCCCAATTTCATTGATGCTAGTGGGTGGCATCGCTTTTGCTCAGCACTACGCTACATTGTACTATATTGAGAAGAGAAAGCAATACTATGGGAGATTGAAGTACATGGATAATTATAAGGAAGACCATGAGATTGCTTTCAGTGGAAGCAAGAAAATCCATCCTTACGGAGATCCATGCTCAGTAGATGGCTGGTACTCCTCAAAGCTGTCCTATCGTGAATGGTATGAATTAGCTTGTGCTAAGAGAGCTCATCAAGAGCAAGTCGAGAATTCCTCTCTCGCAATCATTTGGGAATTAATTGGGACTCTTTAATTTCCTCTTTTAAGCATCGGTTTTGGGGCTGTGTACCTCTATGGAACTATCGCGTTTGCCAAAAGTTATTAACACGAAGGCGCAAACACTGGTAAAAAGTGTCTAGGTAGAATACTAATGAGAGGATCACTATGGGCGTTAGGGGGTCTAGCTATTACTGCAGCTGGCGTATTGACTTGTAAGAATTACGACATCGATATTGGGGCAATCTTAAAGAAAGCATTAAGACAATGAGAAAGATATCACTATGATTTTTACATTTAAAATATCAAATCTCATCAAAATAACTAAATAAACGTAATTCTGGGGTTTTGGGGTTTTGGGGTTTTGGGGTTTTGGGG